ACAGAAACTCTTCCGTAATGAGCTCTTGATTTCTGTCTTGATTATAAATAGACATTTCTTCTCCCTATTGGCCCAGCGCACATCCATGCTGGGCAAAACTAGACTTTTCTCTTCCATTTCCAGGATCCTTTGCGATATCAAGCCCGAAGGCTGGGCTGAGTCGGCAGCTGGGTGTCTGGCAGGCTGATGGGGGCTGCACAGGGTCACAGCAGAAATGAAGGTGGCAATGAGAGTTATGAGACAAGTTCAATGTCTCACTGCCCGCTCCTAAGCACCAAGTCCCAGGATCGTCTGAAGCCGGGTTGTGGCTTAACAGGCGGATTGATTTCAAGTGTGCTGTGTGCCCAGTAATGGGCCAGGTCTGAAACAAGTCTGTAGCCAGATTAATTATAAGTTGACTCTCACCCCTCAATTTTCAGCGGCGGAGTAGGCAATTTAATCACAGCAAAGGGGAAGAGAATGTGAAATGACCTCCTGCCACCAATGGTTGCACATCTATAGTGTCAGCTGTTCCTTTAAGCGAAGGTTAGTAGTGTGACGGTGTGTGTTTGGAGTGAGCCTGAGACTTTCCAAAGGGTTGGGATAGAAGACCGGGTGTGACGAACTAACTGCCTTGGAATCCTGAAATTGTGCCGCGTTCCAGTCAGAAGAACGTTTACAGACCACGGCGTCTAGCCTCCTTACTTTACAGATGGGGAAACTGAGGCCCAACGCTGGGGGAAGGACACGTCCAAGTTCACCTGGGTTTTAGTGGAAGAATCATAGACCTGAAAGTCAAAGCTGGAAGGGCTTCAGGGTCATCCAGGCAACCTCCCCATTCAGCGGGTACCCAGCAGGTGGCGGAATCCCTCTCTAAGGCTGGAATCCTTCCTGCAAGAGGGCACTCACTGTTTTCAGGAGTATATCGTTCCTTTCTCCGATAGCTAGAAGCATTGGAAAAATCACTGCTTTATTTGTCTTCCTGTGGTTTCCTAGTTCTAGCCTAGGGGACACCTGAAAAAATCTCAATCTTTCCTTTAGTTGCCATTCCTGTGGCTATTTGAGGCCATCTATCATATTTTCTATAAATCTCTTTCCTTGCAGAGGACAAGCGTCCCTTATGCCTCCTGAGATTCACTGTCCCTTTCTCTCAGCACCCAATCACTCTGCTCACGTTTATCTGCGTCCCTCTTGAAAGTACGAAGCTTCAAACTGAATACAACCTTCCTGTGGTCTAATTAACACGATTACTTTCTTTGTTCTAAAGTCTTCATGTCTATTAAATCATCCTAAGATCACACTGACTGCTCTCAGAAGAAATCATTTGGGATCCTTTGGTTGGAAGTGATGTTAATTCAATTCTAAGCAGCTTAAATAAAAGTGGGAATTTAATGGCTCACGCAACCACAGAATCAGAGTCGAACTTCAGGTATGGATGGATCCAGGGGCTCAGGCAACATTCGCCTGAGGTAGGTATCTCTGTAGCCATGGCTCAACTTTTCCGATTGTTGGCTCCTTTTCCAGGCAAGATAAATGCCAACCACGCTGTCCTAGTCCCTTGAGGCTGTTATAATCATATGCCACAGACTGAGTAGTTTTGTAAGTAACAGCAATTCATTTCTCACGGCTCTGGAGGTGGGAAAACCGACATCAGAGTGCCACCGTGGTCGGGCGAGTGCCGTTCCCGGACTGCGGACCTCTTGTCGTGGTTGAAGGGGCTAGGAACTCTCAGGGGCCTCTTTTATAGGAAACTGATCCTATCCACGAGGCCTCCACCGGAATGGTTTAAGCATCTCCCAAAGGCCCCACCTCTAATACCACCATCTGCAAAGATTAGGATTCTAAGGTATGAATTTTAGGAGAACACATTCAGACCACAGCACATGCCAAACTTAAACCTTCAAAGTTCCCAATACACGGGAACAAAAGAGAGGGGGCCTCTGAATTGGTTTGCTGGGGCTGTCATAGCAGGGACCACACTCTGAGTGGCTTAAATGACAGAAATCAATTATCTCATGGTGCTGGAGACTAGAGGTTTGAGACCACAGTGTTGCCAGGCAGGACTGGCTCTGTAGAAAAGTTTTTCCACTACCCTTCTAGGTTCTTTTGGCTGGTCTAGTAATGAAATGGACAGAAGACCGATGAACAGGAAAAGTACTAATTTCATTACCTGCTTACGGGAGCCCCATGAGAATAGGAGACCCCCAGGCTCAATGGAAGCTTATATTGCCATCCTCAGCTAAGGAGAAGGGGGGAGTGGTCGGGGTTCAAAGAGGAGGAAGACAGTCCGCGGGAAGAAAGGAAGGGCCAACGTTCCGTAAACAAAGGTCCGCCATGCCACGCACACGGAGAGGAATTTGGTCTCTGGGGCTGGACGGGCTTCCCCGCCTCTCCCCCTACTTAGCCCGTATTCTTTGTGGCTATTTCTGGTGATATTCCCTTCCTGGACCAGGCCCTTTATGTGAAATATTTTAGGCAGTTGAGGGGGAGGTAAAAGCTCTTGCCTGGTCTTTTGGGCCTCGATCGACTTCAGCCCCCAGTCATCTGCATGCCACAGTGGCTTCTCTGGGGGAGCCTCAATCCGACCCCTTTCAGCTCCTTAGGAGGGCCATGAGGAAGAATCTGTCCCATGCTCTCTTCTAGCGGCTGGTGTGATTTGCTGGCCGCCTCTGGGGGTTCTAGAAGCACTATCCCTCTGGTGTTCTCCCTATGTGCTCATGCGTCTGTGTCCCAATTTCCTCTTTTTATAAAGATGCCAGGCACTCCGGTAGGACCTCCTCTCAACCACTCGCATCTGCAACAGCCCTAGGCCCAGAGAAGGGCACATTCTGAGGAGCACGGGGAGCCAGGACTTCAACACACATATTTGGGGGTAGGGAGCGGGGGAGGGAGGGGGGACACGGTTCTGCCCACAGCAGCCTCGACTCAAGACAGTGTTGCCAAAGACGCTCAAGGCTGCATCTCCCGGATTTCTACTGAATCACACCCCCATCCCTGAAGCGATTAACCACCGTGGTGCCAGGACGGAGACACGTCTTCCCCCAGAACCAGTGGTGAAGCCCACACGACCCGAACCACCGGGAAAGGGGGAGGGGAGACACTCGAGGGAAATAAAGGCGCCCTTAGAAGCACGAATGGGCACCAGGCAAGCCACACCAGCAGACGTTCACCCCGCAGGGCTGATGGAGCAAGCCAGGACCCGTGGCCCGGGGGCTGGGCCACAGCTGAGGCTCCAGAAATAGGCAACTTCAAGGACGGGCTTGCCTTTATCCCCTTAAAAAGAAATCGCCTGTGCGTGTGTCACGAGTCAGAAAGGGAAGCCGAGCCGCCAGGCTGTTTTCGGTTCCTACAGAGCATCGTCGAGACTGCTGCGGCCCTTGGTAGCTGTGTGTTTTGCATCCGTTTTCTTTTCATATTGGAAGATTAAAACAATAGCTCCTGGTTATCATCCGGCGCATTATTGATTAAAATCCTTGCCCGAAGACTTTCCATCTCACTTTTCAGCATGGCGCGATTTACTTTTCTTTTTACTCCCTGTAACATATGATTAATGCTGATCTCCCGAGTCCCGGTGAGATGAAGCCGGGTGTCAGGCACGATTTGTCTGCTTGGAAGTATAGATTATTTTATGTTTCTCGAACTTTGTGGCCAAGGGAACACAGCTCTTGATTGTTAAATCCATCCACACTTTCCCCTGGGCTATGAAATGCCAGAAACATTAAATAGCCCACTTAATACATAACCTCATTCTGTACGCTTGACTATTTTGTTTTTAATTTTTCTTCCCTTTCCCGGCTGCTCACACGAAATGGGATCAAAGAAAAAAAATTATCCTCGCTGGATTTTGTTAAAATATTAATAGGTTAGGGTTGACTGGCTAAATTGAATATCTTTGCTGATCTCACTTGCATGTTTAACTTGTGCTTAGGAAAATATGTTTCCTAGGTGATAACCTTTTATGTACCAGCCTGACTTCATTGAAATGCATAGAGATAAAAATATGTCACGCTCAGCGGCTATGCTATTCTTGTGTGGCACTGTGATTATTCAGATGGTAATTGACCCCCACCTGTAGACAGCTCTTACTCTGTAGTCAATCATTTCATTTGATATTAAAATATGTCCAAGTCCAATTATATAATTTACATTACAAATCATGCTGAATGCCAGGGGTCTCTGAACCGCTGACAAATGCAAAGGAAGCAAAGGAATCGGGGGTTGGGGGGAGAGAACCCTGGTCAATAAATGAAGTGAATTCCACCGGGTGGAGGGTTCAACGTCCCTTATTTGTGTCCACAAGAGCTTTTGTGCATGTGTCATTGGAAGAGTAGCTATGGCTTTCTCGCTGCACCATAAATGGCAGCGTGTGAGACGCCTGTCTGAGGACCGTCTCCCCCCTTTCCTGGCAAAGAATCGCTTCTCCCATTAGGTGAAGAAGTGAGGGCTTGTCCAGGCCTGGAGGGAGAGCAGATCTATTCAAAGGAAGAAGGCGTCAGGTCTGGGAGGTTAAGGTGGCTCCTTGCGGCCGAACCCAACACAGGCACGGAGCGTAGACTTGTAAACTAGGCTTGCGTATTTCCAAACCCCAGATCTCGGCCATCACACTCGGCACTTGCATGGCTGTTATTGGGAGTCACAATATTATTTCTTACCTGGTATTTAATATGTGCCCGGCCCAGGGTTGAATATTTCAGATATGTTGTCTGGGTGGCCCTCACGACACAGCCACGTGAAGTAGTACGTCTGCTATTGGTACCCTTTTCCAACCAGGAGAAAGGGCACAGCGGTTCCAGGGCTCGCCCAGGGCCATTGGGTTAGAAGGCCGACCAGCAGGCGGCGGCAGGGCTGGGGTCAGTGACCACCCTGCTCTTCTGGATCAGGCATCAGATGCCTATGGTGACCGCGCAGGACTGGGAAGGTGCACAGGACAGGGTCTTAACTCAGTGGGGCTTATGGGAGAGCAGGAGGGTCTGGGTGGGAGTGGGGATCCTCTGTGAGGGGGATCCGGGTAGGGAACTCACCAACCACGGAGTTTCCGATGGACGTGGGCTATCCACTCCATGTGACACGTTGGAAGGGCCAACAAGGCCTTGCTGATGAGCCGGCCTTCAAAAGCTCTTCTAGGCCGGGTGGGAAGGCATGACGATTTCTCCTGTGGATACGCAATACTTCTGGCATCAGGGCCGCGCAAAGCCAGACTTCCTTGCTCCTTCTTCTGCCACGTTCCAAAGTTGCTGGGCTCAGCCGTCGCCGGGGCCACTGGCTTCCAGAAGCGAGTGCGGTACTGGTCCAGGCGCATGAAAGAAAAAGCTCTACTCCCCACAAAGTGATCTGGGGCACCTAGAGCTGGGTTGTGTTTCTGATGCGGACACCTGATCCTTGAAATGTGCTGGGAGCCCTGCCCTGCTGGCTACGAACCACGGGTTTGCTGCCAGTGCCTCTCCCACAGGGGTGAGCTTTGGAGCGACATCCCCTGGCAGTCCTGGGGAAGAGTACCTGGGGCAGATGCCCATCAGCAGACAGTCCAGCTCGTGATGTCCAGCTCCTCCTCCACTCTTAATCACTTAGAATAATTGTGAAAAGCACAGAGTCCGCAGACACACCCCTGGGTTCAAATTCCTGCTCTGCCGTCTGCTGGCTGTGAGATCCAGGATAAGTTAACCTCTGTTTGCCTCGGTTTCCTCATTTGTAAGCGAAGTGAACAGCAGTGCCTGCCTTATATAGTTGTAAGAATGGAGAGCTAGGGGGCGCCTGGGTGGCTCAGTCGGTTGAGCGTCCGACTTCGGCTCAGGTTATGATCTCACGGTCTGTGAGTTCGAGCCGCGACGGGCTCTGTGCTGACAGCTCAGAGCCTGGGGCCTGCTTCGGGTTCTGTCTCTCCTCCTCTCTCTGCCCCTCCCCTGCTCGTGCTCTGTCTCTGTCTCTCAGTAATAAAATAAACGTTAAAAAAAAAAAAAAAAGATTGTTTTTCTTACCCAGTTGTTATATGCCACCTATATTTATTTCTTATCATCTTTAAAAAAAAACCCATGGAAGTACTAAATATTGTTTTAAATTCTGTGCACGGACTCTCAGTGGACTGGGCAGTGCACCATGGGGAATCTCGCAAAGAGTCCAGTTCCAGCCCCTCGGCCTGCCATTCAGAATCCCCCACCAACTGTCTGTCCCCCACTCACCTTGCACATTGCCTCCCACTGACGACTCACCACATACCTGTACCTTGTGCTCTGTTGATTTAGGTGCTTAAAGAATACGAAGCTGTGTCCTTATTTTGTGAGAGGCAGGATAGCATAGCGGTTAAGTGCACAGGTCTAGAGAGGAAGGACACAGGTTTGCACCCCAGCTCTGCCACCTTGGCTGACTCATTTGGGAACTGGGGACAGGAATAGAGCCCACCTCTTCAGGGCGGGCGCAAGAATGGAACGAGTTAATTCTCGAAAGTACTTAGTTCAGGGCCGGGCCAAACGAGTCCTCCCTCCCGAAGCGTGAGCTCAGCTGGTCTTTGGTATTTCGGTCACATTTATATGTTAAATAAAAGCCCTTAAGCCTGCGTAAGGGCCCAAAGAATGAACCAGCGACTTCCCTGCCCAGGCTCTGGGAGAGAGCTTTTTGAGGGGGCTCCAAAGCCCTTTCTCCCCCGCTGGAGATGCACAGCAGAGAGCCAGAGACTCGGGAAGCTAGCTGATCTGGGAATGAGCCGGTCATTCCTCCTTTGAATCAGAAATCCCGGCAACAGAAATCACCTCTCTGTGAATGAGCCAGACGCTCTGGCCAGGGAAAATTTCCCAGGCACTTTCCGGAGACTCATTTTGAAAGTGAATTGAGACATTATCTTTAATTAAAGTGGCAATCTGCCCCCCATGAGTTTCCCATCCCTAGATGCCCAAGCGATGGCCTCTGTTTTGTCCCCTCCCTGCCTTCTCTACCTCCTTTTAATTTCAAGCCCATCAGCAGGCCAGTTTACTAAATTGGTTTTAATGGAAATTTAGCCAGCATGAATAATAATGAAATGTAAAATTATTCCTTAGCTAATGAACAGCCAGCGGCTTTGGGGTTAATCGTTTGCTTCTGGTGTCAGCTTATTTATATTGAAATAGAATTGTAATAGGATTCCAAACTAAAACTGTTTCACATTCTTGATCACCGCTTACCTTAGGGTTTATTCTTTATCATTAGCCATTGTTCCGTAATCGCTCCCACTTTGGACCTACTTGTGAATTAATTAATTACCTAGCTAAACTTGAGTGGTATTTTCTTTAAAAGACAGAAAACTTGTCTTATTTTACCTTAGCATTGTGTTTTTGTTCCAAAGGTCTCCATACGCACAGAAGTATCTTCTTCCCTGACCAGTTGGTCATCTTGATAAGTGCGGAATCATGACCTCTGGCTGTCTCCACTGATCCCCTCAGAGGACTCAGGGACAGACGGCAGAGGGATTGTCCATTTCTAGAAACTCATTTTCCTTTCTGAGGACTCAGGGTCCCCATTAGAAAAATATATGGGGTTAGATCACTAGAGCAATGTTTTTTACACCTGTGGAGGTTCTTCAGGAGTTGTTGCTGGCGGACATTGGTGGACCAGGGATCGATCGATCGGTTACTCACTTGGGAGAGAACTGGTTATCCGATCAGTTCTTTCTTTTACAGATAGGTTTTCTGACTGAGTTTTTGTTTGGAAAAACAAAAAAGTGGAAGGTGAGGCTTACCCTGTTTTTTTTTTTTTTTTTAAAGAAAGCTAACACTCTGGACCAGATTCATAGTTTCCAAATCTGGCTATGTTGAAATCACAAAGGTAATAATTTCTTGGATGTAACACCAAAAGGACAGGCAACGAAAGAAAAAAAAATAACAAGTTGGACTATCAAACTTAAAAGCTTCTTTGCATCAAAAGACACTATCACCAGAGTGAAAAGGCATCCCTCAGAATAGGACTGCAATCCTGTGTCCAATGAGGGATTACTATCCAGAAGGCATAAAGAATCCCACAACTCAACAACAAAAACCCAAACAACTGATTCAAAAATGCTCAAAGGACTTGAATAGCTATTTCTCCAAAGAAGATACTCAAATGGCCAAATAAGCAAGTGGAAAGACTTGCTAATCATGTCAATTAGGGAAAGACCCCTAATCATGGGGGGAAATGCAAATTAAAACCACCGTGAGTTATCACTTCACACCTACCTACCTACCTCAAAGGATGCCAGTGAGGTTTAATGATAAAATATGTGGAAAATATTTAGCAGAGTGGAACATTAAATAAATTATTGATACGTCAATTAGTTCCCCTGATGCGTATTGAGCACCTGCTGTGTGTCGACTAAGGTGCTCTGTGCTGGTGATCTGGGTTACGGGGACCATGTCCTACCAATGAGCTTGCAAGAGGGCTCAGAGAAAGGTTAAATGGTAATGAAAGACGAAACTGTTTAAAGGAAGGTTAGTTTCTGATGACAGGTATTTAGACTGGGCTGTCCTTATTTTTCTTGATTTAGAAAGACCGGGATCTTGAAGAAAAAAACCAACAAACACACAGAAACTACGCCATTTCTCAGCTCTTAAGACTGTGTCTAATTCCTAAAACCCCTGGAAGTGAATTCAGCCCTGGCCACCAGGATTAGGCCTCGCTTCTGTTACTCCCATCTGGAATTCGCTAGAAGGCCAAACCCAGGCCCTTTCCCTAGGCCCTTCCCGCAAGGCAGAATTAGGTTGGGCTATTCCAAGCTGAAGTCAGGCCCGGCCCTCAGCCAAGCTGCCCGCCATTGTGATCAGAGCCTGGAAGGGGCCCTTGAGGTCTGCCTCACCCATTTCATTCTAGAGCCGGTGGGGGGGGGGGGAGAGGGGGTTCTGTGGCCCTGAAAGGGACCCCAAGCATCACTCAGGGATTTATGGCACAGAAGGGGGTGCAATTATGCTATTCTAACTGTCTGCTCATCTGTCTTTGTATCATACCCTAGGGAGCACCTCTTCCCCCACGGGGGCCTCTGCCTCTCCCATACTCGGTGACCTCCCATCCAGTCCTTCTTGAAACTTACTTTTCCTTAATCCCGCTCCTTAGAAGGGTTATAAATGACTAAAGAAGACAATTTGGGTGATACAAACTAACTTTATGTAACACTTCATGAAGTGGGCAGTCTCCGTTTCCAAGGGTTGAGTGAACTGCAAAATGGAGGCAGACAGCGGGAAGCTTATATGGGATAAAGAGAAAAGAATGAGGAAGAGAAGAATAGAAAAATGAATAAGGAACAAAGAAGTGAGTATAGGCAGAGCTGGCTTGGCGTCTGGGACTTGGCTGACTGGATATACTGTTTCTCATCAAGTGGGACATTTACAGGGGTGTGACAGTTATCTAGGTGTCTGTTTGCTAACATGCCCTTGGGGGGCCCCCCCCCCCCCCCACCCCCCCACCCCACCCCCCGCCCCCGGGGCAGGGGTGTCTCCATCTTGGGCCTGGAGATGTTTTTAACATAACAGTTTGCTCATTCTGATTCACAGTGAAGGGTAAATTGTGCCCTTGATGGGGACACTGTAGAGGGGTTGGAAGGGCTTTCTGAGGCTGGGGTCTGTGGTTTCCTCCTGCGGGCCCCCACAGGCAGCCTCTGCCCTCTCCCACAATGCACTGCAGCATGGCCACCCCTGAGTCTGTTAACAGCTATGGAATTGAAGGGCCCAGAGACTCTTGAGTACATGTTTCCCAGATTTACCAGGCACTCAGGATTATCTAGCATGCTTTCACAAAGGCTAGGATTCTGAACCCCTGTGCTTTGGAAATTCTCATTCGGTAGATGCCATGTGGAAACTGGGAATCTGTATGTTTGACACCCCCTGGGGTGATTTTTAGACTTTGTCCAGCGACTTTCTTTTCTCCCATGTAACTTGCAGATAAGAAGATTGAGCCCCGAAGGTAAGAAGTAATATTTTTAAGTGTGTAAAAATTGTTCCAGAACCCCACCTACCTTTTAAAAAATGATTTCTTCTTCTGCCCAAAAGCCTTGAGGAAGGCCGTAAAAGGAAAACCGTTTCTTTGTCATTCACAACCTTGACAGTTGGACGGCTCTTTCTCTGGTCTCTCCTTCGGGACAAGCATTGTCATTTTCCTTTGGCGACAACCTTGTAGTCACCCCGCCCATGAATCCTCTATAACATCCCCCCCCCCCCCCCCCGCCCACCCACCCCATGTCAGTTCACAGGGAGGAGTAACAACGTGCCTGGGAAAAAAAAAAATCTCTCCTAAAATTATGAAATAAAAACATCAGCTCTAAATATATCATCCATGATGAGGCTTCTATTTCTGATCCATTGTGGCATGGCTGTGATATCCAAGAGCTACCGGTCTGCTAAGCTTTGCTGAAATTAGACTGCAGATATTAAAAGCAATTAATGTTCTTCTCTCTCGCCTTATTTATTTATTTCTAAGTTTCGCAATGCAATTACTTAAGAGGCCTTCGGAAGAAATCCCGAGAATCATTTTCAATCAGCAGAATGAAAATGTCGCCTTTTGTGATTTG